CTGAGCTGACTAGCAGCATCAGGCCAGGCCAGGGTCCGTGTGGTCAGTGCAGCCAGCCCTGCCTCTTGCCCTCCGCGCAGGGATCCTGCAGTTCCAGCCCTCCGGCGTGGTGCGCATTGGGGGAAGGAGCAGAAGCGACAAGGTGGCAGCGTGCTCCTTGAGGAACCTTTTGCCAAAAGCAGCTGCCAGCGCTCCTGGGGGCCGCGGAGAAGCACCAGTATGGCTGGGTGTGTAGCTAGAGCGTGGGCACGGGGCAGCGCTCACACTGCGGCCCCAGCAGTGCTCTGGGGGGAGCACCATTGCATGCCCCGGGGACAGCGGTGTGGGGGAGCGAGAGCCAGGTGATAGGGTGTGCTCTGGGGGCTGGGCGGGAGGGCCATAGCTGGGTGAAGCCCCACCCCCAGAGCACGGCTCTCCCTCCCCCGCCCTGCCCTGTGCCCCGAGCCGGGAGGCTGCCCCATGCTCTGTTTCCCCCCCAGATGCGGAAGGCCTTGCAGAAGCAGAAGGAGAGCATCGCCTACCGCACCGCGGTGCTGGAGCTCCTCCGCCGAGGGATCCTCACGGACACAGAGCTGGCAGCGGAGATCCGCGATGACAACCTGGAGTGCTCCTGGGTGAGGAGAGGGTGGGGAGGACACAGAACCCAGCTGCCCCTTCCCCAGGGCCGGGCTCCCCTGGCCAAGCCCGGCCGGGGTGGGCGGCTGGGGCCCCGTCTCAGCGCATGCTGTGTCGGACCCTCCACAGAGAGCGGGGCGCTTCGACATGTGCGACTGGCTGAAGATCGACCCCGTGGCGCAGGAGGAGAAGCCGTCCCAGGCTCAGGGCAGGGGCAGGAAGGCAGGTGAGTGGCTGGGCAAAGGGCCGGGCGCTGCCCCCGGCTGTGCAGAGCCCAGGCACACAGGGGCATAGCCGGCTAAGCTCATGAGCCCTCACACCTGCCTGAGCAGGGGAACCAGCCAGGGCTGCGGGAGGGGCAGCAACCTGCACGCCAGGTTTTCAGGGGGCTGCTGCAGGCGGAGCAGCTGGTGATGGGGGGTGCAGGGGGCAGGACACCCCCGCTCTAATCCAGCATGAGCTGTGGGCCTTGAAGACCTGGGGTGGGAGGCCAGAGCCAGGCCCCAGTCCCCGAGGCCAGGTCACATGAGGGGAGAGCTGACCTGCTCTGCTGACGCCCCCCAGGGCAGCTCCTGTCTCTGGAGCGGTGGGGCAGGATTTGGCCATGAGCTCACGGGCCTGTGTCTGCCAGGCACGGCGGGGGCTCCATGGAGCTCCCACCCCACTAGGGTGACCGGATGGGAGTGGGGGCGGGGGTCACAAGCACCTGTATAAGAAAAAGCCCCAAATATCGGGACATCGGGTCACCCTGCCCCCCCAGGCGCGGAGGAAGAGCTCTGGCCGTGCCACAGGGATGAGCGGGCCCTGGATGACGAGGACGATTTGGACCCTTCCGAGTGGCGGCGAAGCACAGTGGAGGAGAAGTTTGCTTACATCCTCCCCGCCGAGGGCAGGTAGAGTCCGGCGCCCTGGGCAGACGCCACGTGCCCGTTACAGAGCTCAGCACAGCCCCGGGGTGCGGGCACAGGCCCAGCAGCTCTGCCAGCCTCATGCCGCCCTGTGTCTGTGAGACGGGACGACACGGCCGGGCCTCAGTGGGGAGGGGAGGCTCTCTGGGAGCAAAGGCATCACTGCCCCCTCCTGCAGCCGTGGCAATGCTCCGGCCCCCGCAGGGCCGGGACACAGGGCCGAGCAGCCGCAGCATTCCCCTCAGCTCTCTGCCCTGCGCCAGCACCACGGCCCCCCAGCTCCAGCCCCTGGCCGTCCTGCTCTGAAAGGGAGACGACGCTGCCGCGGTCTCTGTATCACCCCGGGGAATGGCAGCTCCGGGGCACCCCACATCCCCCTGCCAGCCCCTGTCTGAGACCCGCCGAGGCAGGGCCCGCAGCCATCGGAACGGGTGTGGGAGCTGCCGTCACCCTGGCGGCGGCTGGTGCCCCATGGCCAAGGTTGGGGTTCACATGGAGCAGGGCCCACAGGCTGCAGCCCCCCAAGCCCTCCCCACGCTGTTCAGTCACTGCCCAGTCTCTCCCGCAGCTCCTCACACCAAGGGATGCGCCAATGCTTGGAGGAGGGTGACATCATGACCAACGAGGACGTCGCGAACGTGAGACGTCTGGGAGCTGCGGCTGTAGACACCTCACTGGTGTCTCTACAGGTCTCCCCACCCCACCCCCAGGTAGCACCCTCCCTCCCTGAGCCCTCCAAACCACGGCATGGTCCTGCCAGGACCCTTCACGAGCTCCTGGGGAGCCGGGACCTCTGGGAGAAGCGGGTGACGCACGCCAGCCTTTGAGCACTAGCCCAGCCCAGGTCGCCTGGGAGATGAGGTTAATACGCAGGGCTGCCCTCGGGTCGGTGGAAGGAGACCGAGCTCTGGGCACAGGCCAGTGGCTGGAGGCAATAACACAGCTCCAGCCAGTGCCGGGCCTGCTCCTTGGTGGGAGGGGGCCCCCGGGGTGCAGGAGCCAGCTCCTGACTCACTCTGCGGGGCCAGGCACGGCCTGTGAGTCACACCCTGCCGCACGCGGCTGGACAAGCCTGGCCGGAGCCGGCCCGAGCTGCACCCTCGCTCTGAGTCCTGCGGTAACGTGAGGCTGCCTGGCTGAGCCGGACGGCGCTCCGTGGAGCGGGCGGGGGGGATGCGTCACACACTGACCAGTGGGCTACCACAGCCCCGGCCTCGGGAGTCACTGCGGGAGGGCTGGTCCTGGTTCCACCCCCTGCACTCTGCACCCAGGAGGGGATGCTGGCCTACGAGCGTGAGCTGAAGGAGACGCTGGTGGAGAAGCTGAAGGAGTACGAGAAGAAGGCAGCCCAGCGAGCGGAGCTGACCTTCCAGGAGGACCTGTGGGTGCTGAAACGAAGCCGGGTCATTGGCATGATGCCAACAGGCGAGAACGCTCTCAGCTGCTCCCCACCCTGCCCAACCGGAGACAGCCTCAGCCACGGACAGATGTTTGCAGCCACGGAGCGTAAGGTCAGAGGGGACCAGCAGATCGTCTGCTCTGCTTCCCTGTGTATCCCCAGCCACGCCCGCTCACTAAACCCAGCTCCCGGAAGGAGAGCAGGAGACCCGGCTGGCATGTGCCACAGGCAGCAAACCCCGAGGGGCACCGGTGTCCGAGGCCCCCAGTGGCAGGGAAAGGATGAAGTGAGACCCCCAGTAATCCTGGCAAGGGACCCACACGCTGCTATTTTTCAAGGCAGGGGCTGTCCATACATTACACAATGCATCGGGGGAGAGGGTCCCTAATTGTGCCTGTTCGTTGCAGTCTTACGAGAGGCAGGTACGTCATGAAAAATCTCCCCAAAATGTGTTCATTTCTGCACAGCCCCTCAGACAGGCCCAAACCAGGCGGCACCCGGCACCAGAATAAACCAGCAACATAATCCCTGCTCCAGAGAGCTCCAGTCTAAACGGGGGGTCAGCAAGGGAGAGCCACGGCCTGACACAGGAGGGGAGGGGGCAGGAAGGTCAGGCCTGGGGACAGCACAGGGGCTTGGCTGTTGGACGACAGGATAGTATGGCCCAGTGCGGCCGTTATGTTCTTCTCGGGGGCCTACTGGAGTGGCTTGGAGGGGGCAGCCATTCTACAGCCTGGTGCTGGCCGTGCAGAAGTTACTGAAGGTTTCAACCCTCCTAGAGAAATTGCCTCTTGCGAAGGGATTTCAAGGCAGGGAGGGGGATGGTGGCTGAAGAACGCGACCCCTGCAAGGGGAACTGGGAGTTTCTACTGCACTGACAGGGGCCGGGTCTGTGTGCACTGGAGGCCCTGGCAGGGCAGGTCTCCGCCTAGACCCAGCTTGTACGGGGTCTGTGGGCCAGATGCCAGAGCCAGCCGGGGAGCTGGGCCACGCTGAGAGGGACAGAATTTGAGCAGCGCAGGCCAGTTCGTTCGAGTAAGTGAGTGCTTCGGCCAAGAGGCTCCGCCCTGCCCCGTCTCCCCGGGGTGAGCACAAAGCAAACTGCCCGAGCTCTGCCTCGAAGGAGCGTCCCTCGGGAGGAGGCCCTGCCCTCGGACAGCCCGCCCCGCCCCCTCACAAGCCTGTGCTGGCGGAGGGCCCCCGAGCTCCAGGAATGAGGCTCTCACACCGACATCAACAGGAGCTGGTCCAGGCCTGACATCTGTTAACTGATTCCAGCGACTCCCCTGCGGCGGGGCAGACACACGCTTGGGACCACAGAAGGTGTGAAAAGCACAAAGCCCCATGGCCCCTCCTGCAACGCCAGCCTTTTTCCAGTCATCCGGGACCTCCCCCGATCGCCAGGAGTTTTCAAAGATACAGGAACTCCTCATTTAAAGTCGTCCCGGTTAACGTTGTTTCGTTGCTGATCAATTAGGGAACATGCTCGTTTAAAGTTGTATAATGTCCTTTGGCAGCCGCCTGCTTTGCCCACTGCTTGCAGGAAGAGCAGCCCGTTGGCGCTAGCTGGTGGGGGCTTGGAATCAGGGTGGACCGGCAGCCCCCC